GGATTGTGTTCCATTAGTATCTTTGTGATAGCAAGAGATAGCTAGGAAGACCCTAGCTGGGTATTCTGGGTAGATGTACTGGCTGGGTAGACATTCTTAAGAGGCAGCTAGATGGCACAATGGATAGAACACTGGACCTGGAGTCAGGCAGGCCTGAGTTCAAATAGGCCTGAGTTCAAATAGCTTCAGACACTAGTTTTCTGACCCTGGACAAGACACTTAACCTTTCTTTTCTTTGGTTTCCTCAGTGTTAAAATGGAGATAATAATAGCACCTTCCTCACAGGTTTGTTGTGAAGATCAAATGAAAAGGTATTTGCAAAATTGAAAAAAAAACCACTTAGGACAGTGCCCGGCACACTGTAAACATTATATAAATGCTTATTCTCTTCCCCTTCCTGTGGTGAATGGGGCATATGGGGGAAATGTTAGCAAAGTAAAATTGAGGGTGAGAGAGTGAGGAGTCAAGGATGACACCTAGGTTTTGAGTGTAGGAGACTGGGAGGATGGTGGTACCCTGACAGTAATAGGAAAGTTAGGAAGAGAGGGGTGGGGAAAGATAATGAGTTCAATTTAAGATGTCTACAGGACATCTAACTCTAGACGTTTGGTAGGCAATTGGAGAAACTAGACTGGAATTCAGGAGAGAGGTTAGGGTTGGGCTGGACAAACAGATCCAAGCATCTTCAGCATACAGATGATAACTGCATCCTTGGGAGTTGAAGAGATTACCAAAGTGAAATTGTATGAAGGGAGAATAGCCATGGGGGAAATCCACTGTTAGTAGGCATGTCCTGGTTGAAGATCAAGCAAAGTACTTGGCACATAGTAAGCCCTTAATAAATGCTCATTCATTCATTCATTCCTTAGTAGGGGCTCAAGAGCTATGGTTTTGAATGAGTATTGATCTACAAAGTACCTCAGACCTGGGATAGTTGTGGGGAGCCCATGATATGTGATTCTCAACATAACACATGAAGTGGGTATCTCCTATATTTATTTTCTAGATGAGGAAACCTTGCTCAGATAGATGACATAATTTACCAATAGTTATGGAGCTGGTAAATATCAGAGGTGGGAATAAAATTTGCCTCTGCTAATTCTCATTCCTTTTCAGGCTGTACTCCAGATTTATTCTACTATCCTGAAGCCTCACCATATCCCAGTTCTTCATCCCTGAATTTTCACTCTAGCCTTGGAATTCACATATTGGAAGTACCTTCAACTCCTGTGGCCTCTCCCTCCTCTGATTGGATGGTCCTCTCAGAACATCTCTTTAAGGAAGGCACTCAGGCCACTGATGTCTCATTCTTCTCTAGGACTCACTCAGGACTTCTTCTACCATGCCTCCCTCATGGGGTACCTTTCTCTTCTCCCAGCCCCTTTTCAGCTTCCTTTTATGTATTGTCTTCTCTCATTAGAATGTAAGCTCCTTGAAAGCACACACTGCCTTTCTTTCTACTTGTATTTATATTCTCAGCATTTAGCATAGTGCTTGGCACATAGTAAGTACTTAATCAATGGCAGTTGATTGACTGATTCCAAGTATAGTCTTTGTACTACCCCAAATCTATTCCCAAGAAAGGCAAACATGTCTTGAAAAAATCATTCAGATATTACTTGGTGTTGGATTCTATCAAGGTGATTGTTCTGACATTATTCTCCATCCCTCTAGGTACATATTTGGAAGCTCTAGATGTCATATCCTAAATACTGCGACTGGATGAATCTTTTTAAAATCATGCCATGTTTCTAGACTATAGGGAACATGGCATTTCTTTGTATTAATAGAGTGCCATGCACATACCCATGAATGCTGATTTTGATCTTGATTAATTTCCCTTTCTTGCTCAAAAACTTCTAATGGCTAATTGATGCCTGGAGGACAAAATTCCAACTCCTGAACCTGCATTCTGGACATTGCTATCTGAACCTTTCCTACCTTTCCAGCCTTATCTACTATGATTATTCCATCTGGAACCTTGAAATCTACCTAACCTAGGTATCCACTGAACCTCCATTTTACCTCATTGATCCTTGTCTCAGAATGATGCGGTTAGGCCACTACCATTCTCCAACAAGAGTAGAGGGGTAAATTGAAGGAAAGGAAGATCAGCTACCTTCTTACTGTTTGTCCCTCCTAGAATGCTTTTTCTCCTCCTCTCCATCTAGCTAAATCCTTCCCATTTCTCAAGATTTAGTTTACGTCCTATCCTCTTTGTGAAGTTCTTCCTGTACACAGTGGATTCTCTAGCCCCTGAATTCTGCATACATTTAAAATCCATTCCACTTATTTGCCACATAATCACTTACAGCTTTGCTTCATTGTTTATTTTTCCCGTGTCTAAGATCTTATTAACCTTTTTTTTAAAACTGCTTCATATTGAACTTGTAATGGTCTAAGACAGAGGTGTCAAAAACATGGCCCACAATATTCTTGAGTGCAGCCAAGCCATGTAATTGGGAAATACTTAACAAAATAAAAACACAAAACACACAGATAATATTACATTTTAAAACTAAGTCAATATGTAGTTGAGGCCATCCTTATGGATAGTTTAGTGGCCACCACTTCTTTCTGAGTTGGACACCGTTGTTCTAAAACCTTCAAATCTTTTACATCATTAGAACCAATGTTTTCCATCAGTCCTTGTTATATTTTTGTTTGATTGGATTCAGCCCATTACTGTATCCTATTGAAACTTTTTGAATTTTTTTTGTCTTTCAACATGTTAGCTGTTGCTTTCTTTGATATATCATCTGCAAATTTTACAAACATGTTATCTATGCCTTCCTCCATGTTATTGATTAGAATGTTGAACAGCACAAAGCCAAGAACAGATTCCTTGGGACTTCATTTGAGACCTCCTTCCAAGGTGGCACAGACATCCCCATCACTATTTTTGTCAATTAGTTCTGAAATCACCTAACTGCCTTATCACATGGTCCATATCTTTATGTACCCCACTGCCCATACTCCCACTTAAGTGTTTGTTGAAGGAACAAATAAACAACCCCTAGGATGAGTATTCTGTTAAGGAGAGGTCAAAGACATCTGGAGTAGTGATGGACCCACCACAACAGCAGTAAGGAATTGATGAAAATTCAGATGCCTGAATTTTGTTTAGGTTATGTTCATTATGAGGCTGCTATTACCTATACTCCCATTTCTTCCATCCTACCGTCTACCTGTCTTGCCATTATCTTGCCACTGTTTCCTTCCCCCACCTGGAACAGCAGCCTCCTTTCCTTAGGTGAGTTAACCCACTCAGTTTTGAAGGTCCATCTTGGGGTTCAGCTCTTGATTTGTGAGAAACTACAAACTCACCTGACTGTATCTTGCAGGCTCAAATTCATCCAAACTAGAACATTTGGAACATTTTGCCATTTCTTTCTCTGGGAATAGTGATCAAATAAGTACTATCAGTGCTTCTGGGAAAGGACATGGCCATCACTACTCACATTATTTTTCTTTTTTAAAAAATATTTTTTCATTTGTTTCCTTTCATATTTCCCAATTACATTGATTTTTTAACATTCATTTTTTAAAATTTAGAGTTCCAAATCCTCTTCTTCCTTCTGGTCCCTCCCTCATTCCCTGAGAAGGCAAGCAATATAGCAATAATTATACATGTGAAGTCATGCAAAACATATTTCTATGTTAGCCATGTTGCAAAAGAAAACACACACACACATGCACACACACACACACACACACACACACACACACACATAGAGAAAAACAAAGTGCTTCAGTCTGCACTCAAAGTTTATCAGTTCTCTCTTTGGGGGTGGATAACGTTTTTCATCATGGATCCTTTGGAAACCACTCATTATTTTTGTGATGTCTCAGACAAAAACTCTTTCTCTGGCTATGACTCCCCTATATATGTTGCTCCCCACTATTGTAAAGTAAGCTACGTAAGGGCAGAAACAGTCTTACTTAGGTACCTAGTACCTAAGGTTGGGGAATGTCTGGTGAACTACAAAGTGAGGAAGGTGAGGAAAGTCGCTCTACCAATGCAGGTCAACACCTCTTCTGCAATTTACTGTCTTAAAAAGTTGCTTTAAGTACTGAGAGATTGTGACTTGTTCGTGGTCACCCAGCTAGTATGTGTCAGAGTCAGAACTTGAATTTGTCTTCCTGGCTTCTGGTCCAGTAATGCAACATTGTTAAGTCGTGTCGACTCTTTCTGGTCCCATTTGTGATTTTCTTGGCAAAGATACTGGAGTGGTTTGCCATTTCCTTCTCCAGCTGAATTTACAGATGAGGAAACCGAAGCAAACAGGGTTATGTGACTTGCCCAGGGTCACACAGCTAGTAAGTGCCGGAGGCCGAATTTGAACTCAGGAAAATGAGTGTTCCTGACTCCGGGCCGGACACTCAATCACTGAACCACCTTCCGCTATTTGACGATGCCTTTCTAACCACTAAGCCATCGCTGGCACGTTGAAGGTGCTTAATATAAAGTTTTTTTCATTCAATTAGTCATTCTTTTCCCCGAAATTTCCCTCCCACTCTACTCCACCTCACACACCTACGTTTTTACCCTTCCCAAAATTTGGAAGCTGGGGGGATTCCCTTTTATTCTCCATGCCATAGACATGCCATATTCCTTCATCCTTAAATTCTATATCATAGTTCCCTTATCCTTAATTTTCTCTTCCTAGGTTCAAAGCGCAGTGATTGAATGAAAGCAGAAACCAAACTTTCGGAAGCCCAGAAGGGAAGGCTGTGGCCCCCAGCACTGGAGTTGGTGGGCGGCTAGAGAGCTCTGCAATTTCACGGAAATCACGGTCCTGGGAGAAGGAAGAAGTCTCCTTGCTATCCCCCATCCCCTTCTTTTCACCACTCCTCTCCCGGCTCTGGTTTCATGCTTCTCTGGCTGAAGGGCCAGGCCTGGGTCTCCCTAGGAGAGTAGGCGGTGCAGACAGAGAGCCGGAGAATCGGAGGGAGAGAAGAGGAGGAGGAGTCCAGCCGGGCTGGAGCTCCCACCCTCCCCGCCCCTGCCTTCCCACTCCCAGAGCTCTGGCGGGGGTGGAGAGGAAGCAGCGGGGGTAGCAGACCTCGGAGGGAGGATCGATGCTGGGCAGGGGGCAGCGGGGTACCCCGGCAGCCTGGGGCGAGCGCCCCGAGCAACTGAGGGGCAGCGACAGAAGCAACATCGGGGGTCATAGCCCTGGTAAGAGACTTCCACAGCCACCCAGGACAGAGCTTCGCACAGGGTCCCTCCAGCTCCTCCCGTCCCTCTCCTTTCCCCCGAACGGGCGGGGGTGGGTCGGTAGAGCCTTTCGCCACCCCTCTTCTGAGAGGGATTTGAGCGGAGTAGAGAACTGAAAGTGGCTATTAGATTTTGGGGCTGAGATGTGTGTGGAGAAGTAGTTGACATCCAGGAAGTAGCAAAAATTAACAACCGCAATTCAAATCGCCCCATTACAGCGGGGAGAAACTGAGGCACAGAGCAGTTAAGGGTCGTACCTAAAGACACATAGAGTCAAAACTGAGAGTGCCGTGTCTGTTGGTCTCCTGATACCAAAGCTCCTTTCCCTGACTAGTAAGTGTTTATTTATTTATTTGGTTTAAGCACAAGAGGAGGGAACTCTCTGTCTGTGCTCTGGTAGGCTGTTTTGTAAATCAGCGTGGTTTGGAATCTGGGCTGGACCGAGTGCCTGCCCACAACGCTCGTAGTCATTCGGGTCGGTGTGTAGCTTTTCATGTTAACCAGAGAACTGCTACGGGGTTTGTTTTCATTTAGATCAATTGCAGGAAACTGACGGGACTAGAGCCCTTCTCTGTGCATTGAACCCCACCTCCCCACTTCCCTATGTCAGCGGTCGTTGTCGTAGGGGGCAGGGCACTCAGAACTTAGGAGTACTATAGTACTAGGAAGAGCTAGGAGATTCCCCAACTTCTGCCCGATCAGCAAAATACAGTTCTTAACCATCCTTCGATTTCTGGGGCCCCATGAAGTCAGGCTAGGGAGATGAGGAGAATGGGAGAGGGAAGGCTTGAAAGGAGGGTGATGAGAAGATTGAGAAAATGTAGTCCTGGTACCGACCCCAGTCCTGGGCAACGTAAACAATTTAACGCGGGGCCACATCTGATTTAACGGCACTACATACTGCTTGCCAGGGTTCACTGCAGGAGTCCCCGAGGGGTGGTAAGAATAATAATGTTAACAGAAATGGTGATACTACCTTCATTAAGGTAGCCTATTAGTTCTGAAGAATTCAATTAACGCAGTTCAGTTCCTTCTGGAAGTGTCTGCAAAGGAAGGAAAAACTTTCATGTGATGTTAAAATGGTTATGGTTATACTACCCTACAACAAACCCTCCATCTTTGACTCTTGAGAGTGTTTTCCCTGGCTGTTCTGTATGCCTGGAAGGCCTCCACTCATCACCTCTGGCTTACCTGGTTTCTTTTAAGTCCCACCTTTTGCAAGAAGCCTCCTCCAGTGCTCAATCTTAGTGATTTCCTACTGAGATTATTCCCAATTCATCCTATATATATCTATATTTATCTATATCTATATCTATGTCTTTATCTATATCTATATCTATCTATCTATATCTATCTATCTATCTATCATCTATCTATCTAATCTTGTTTGCACACCGTTGTGTGTATGTTGTCTCACTCATTAGATTGTGAGCTCCTTGAGAGCAGGGACTGATTTTTGCCTTTCTTTTTATCCCCAGAGCTTAGCATAGTGCCTGGAACATGATAGGAGTTTAATAAAGGCTAGGTGATTGACATATGAAAAAAAATAATGCAGTCCAGTTCAACTTACCAAAAAGCCTAGATGGCAGAATATTGGAAATAATCATTTTAAGGTTTGCAAGGCACTTTACATACATATTCTCATTTGATTCTCACAACAATCCTGTGAGGGTGGTGCCATTATTATTCTCATTTTATAGATGAGAACCCTGAGATTCAGAGAAGTTAGCTGACTTGATAGGATTTGGATTCAGAATAGCTCACTTGTCCAATTATGCCTCTAAACTAAGGGATGCCTGAATATTAGGCATTATTTTTAGGCAAGTCTTAGTGATTAATATAGATTAGGGGTGACAGGTCCTCTACCCCGATACAGATTATACAAGGAAATGGCAGAAACTGTGCAACATATCACAGAAGGCTATAAAAACTTAGCACTTAGTGAATATTTAGAAACCAATAGGGCAGAAAGACATTACAGATATGACTGTGCTTGTCACAGAGAGGAAATGACAGTTCCTGTTTGGTCTGGAGAAGCAATTCTCAATAGAAAATTTAGAAATGAAAGAAGCAAGTTAGTTGTAATCTTGCAGGTTATTTTCCCCCATTATGTTTGAAAAATAGATGAAATTTGAATTATCTAATCCAGAATTTTATTTTATGACTTTTTGGTCAAAAGCTTACAAGGCAGAAGATCTTTAAAATATTATAAAGATCAAATCAGAACAAAGTTAGAATTTCTGAGTGTAAAAATATCTACCAATTCAGAGTTGCTTTCATGAAAGGAAGCATTAGACCATTATTTTTGTTGCGATTATAATCAACCAGTTTGTATTCTGGTTCCTAAGCAAAACTTTGTGTGAGGGTCCTTTCTGATGCCCTGATCCCAGAAGTGGCCTCAGCTGACCCACAGTCAATGTGGCACAGTGAAACCATGCTAGATTTAGAGTGAGAGGAACTAAGTCACTTACTAGCTGTGTGATTTTGGGCAAGTGATCTAAACTCTCTGAGCCTCAGGGTCCTCATTTGTAATGTGATGGGGTTGGACTTGATCTCTAAGATCTCCTCTAGCTCTAAATCTATGTTCCATGGTCCTTCTCCTCTTTCTCCTCTCTTCCCTATTACACATGATCTCCTTCCCCCAAATACAGACAGCAAAGGATATTTGAATAGTAGTCCAAGTAATAAATATTGCCTTGACAGTACTGACAAAATGAATCTAGCCCATCTCTATCACAGGTGATAGGAACAATACTCTTTATAGTGGTATTATTACTGGTTATATAAATTAACTATTAAGAACCAGTTAACTAATTAATATTAGTACACTCATTAAGGCAAATGATTGATTATGCAACACCTCCTTGAAGTGTGTATAAAGAAATATGATACTCAGACATTTACTAGCTGTGTGACCCTGGGCAAGTCACTTAACCCCCGTTTGGCTCAGTTCTTCTATAAAATGAGCTGGAGAAAGAAATGGCAAACCACTCCAGTATCTTTATCAAGAAAACACCAAATGGGGCCATGAAAGGTCGGATACAACTGAAGCAACAGAACAACTACAATAATAAAAGAAATGTGAAGCTTTCACATGATGCCAAAAAGGTTATACTATTATTACCATGCTATGTATGTGTACTGTGCTTCATATACACTATGTATACAGTTATTCTGTGCTAAAGCAAACCTTCAATAATTTGGAATAATAAGGAATGGTAAATTTGATTTAGTGAAAATTTGAGTTGAGACCTTTTTGAATAACAGGTTCAGTACCTAATGGCTGTATGACTTTGAAGGTATATTATTTCCCTTTTCTATACTTCAGTTTACTTAATAATTAAATTAATATAATCTAAGTGCATTGGGCTATAACTAGGATTGAGACCCTGAGTTTTGACCCAGGATACTGAACTGAAGGTTTTGTTGTTTCTTTCCTCCCTTTGACTGCTATCTCTGTGTATGAGGCCCAGCAGTCTCCTGATGGGTTGTACCCTTCGTGTGACCAGGATCCCCCTTCTGGCCCCATACCTAGGGCTCCTTGCTGTGGTGCCCCTCCCTTGGGAACTGTCTCCTTTCAATAAACCCCTGGGAGGGCTCAAATGGTTCTTTTGAGGGCACTGGCTGCTTCATCTCCTTTATTGAAAACATTTGCAGTCAGACTTCCCTCTATGCAGGTGTTGTCAACTCAAATAGAAACAGCCGTGTGAGCTGCACCATTGACTTAGAAAACCACGAATTAACATTATCTATCTTGTATTGTATTTTTAATTTACTTTGTTAAACATTTCTCAATTATATTTTATTCTGATTTGGGTCACACTCAGGAGTTTTGCAGGTTGCCTGCTGCCCCTTGAGTTTGATGGCCTCTGATCTAGCCCACTTCCACCATGTCTTCCTACCAGGTAAAATAATTCCTAGTTAGAGCTCTGTATTATACTCCAACCTCACAGGATTATTGTGGGAAAAGCACTTTGCAAGCCTCAAAGCACTACAGATATGGGAGGTATTATTATTCTTAGCCACTACTAGGCCAGAATCTCTTGCTAATGTAAGTCTTTATTTTCTTTCTTTTTCTTCCTCTATTTTTCTCTTTCCTCTTTCCTCAGGTTAACTATTTTTAGAACAATGATGTACGTATAGTATATATGTAGTATGCATATGGTATACACGTATACTACGTGAATTTCAGCAAGGCATTTGACCAGTTTTTTTTCCACATACAAATGCTTAGTACAGTGCCTGTAGTAATCACACAGTAATCATTTAATAAACACTTTTTCCTTCATTCATCCTTGTGGATAGAATGGAGAGATGTGGGCTACAGCTGTGGTGTCAAACTCAAATAGAAATGGGGTCCACAGCTACATATTGACTTAGAAAACCACATATTGACATTATAGACGTTCTATTGTATTGGTATTTATTTTGTTAAACATTTCCCAATTATAGTTTAATCTAGTTCTTTCTTGCTTTACTTGGTCAGGAGTTTTGCTGCAATTGCTGATGTTAAGTTTGATACTCCTGGGAAAGAAGCTGGTACAGTTGAGTATTTGTAACTGACATGATCTTAGTCTGCTACATTAATCAAAACCATGTGTCCACAAAAATGGCAGTGATAGGGCTGCAGTACCAGATTTTCTCAGGTCAAACCAAATCTTGATTCTTATGTTCAGTTTGGGTGACCACATTTTAGAAAGGACATTGACATATTGGAACATATCTAGGAAGAGGAAAAAAACAAACAATTAATCAACCCTCATTAAATGCCTACTGCATGCCAGTTACTATAGTAGGTATTGGAGACAAATATAAAAGTCCCTATTTTTAAGGAGCTTATGTTCTACTAACAGGATAGTAAGGGGACTGGAATCTATCATTATAAGATGAGCTGAAGGGAAGGAGACTTTGGGATGCAGTATGAAGTCTAATTTTTAAAAATTTAAAATTTAAAAATTCTC